GTGGGCTTCTCTGTGTCTTTGGGGTCTTGTGCTGGCGACTACATGCGCACTGAAACAGAGATAAGGCAGGCCGGGCGAGGAGGGAAAGGGGGGAGGGGGGATGGGGGAAGGGGGGGGGGGGGCGGAGAAGGGAGGCATGAGGGAGGGGGGGAGGGGGGGAGACGGGGGGGGGCGGAAAGGCAGAGCGAAGCAAACCGAGCGGAGCGGTACCGAGTACGGGCTCGCGACGGAGTGGTCGATGGCGGAAGCCAGGGGACTTGCGGGGGGGGGGGAGGGAAAACCCCGAGCGAGGGCGCAGCGTCAGGCGAGCGGCGCGAGAGAGCGCACTCCGATCGTGGGGAAGCCTGAGCGCTAGTCGCGGGTACTACATCGGGACCCGACCGGAAACTGGGGGAGATCTGGGTAGGGGGGTCGCGTCTCCAGACAGCACGTTTAGCGAACTCAACCGCGGTATAACGGAAAGGCCACGAATGCGAGCCAAGCAGGAGACAAAGACAGAAGACAGTAGCCCGCCTCGGCGGCGCGACCTAGCGCGCTCTCACGCCGTGGGTGTCTTCCGTCCTCCCCCTTCTCTCCTCTTCTCACTCCCTCTCTTATCTCGTTCTCTCTCTCTGGCGGAGGAGGGTCTCTAGCGACGCGAGAGCCGAGTCCCGCCAGCAGCGCTCGGCTAGAGACGGTGCACTCTTCGTCTCTCCCTCCCCGGCCCCTCCTCTTCCCCCTGCCTCCTCTCTCTCTCTCTCTCTCTCTCTGTCTCTGTCTGGTTCTCTCTCTCTCTCTCTCTTCTCTCTTTCTCTCTCTGTTCTCTCTCTCTCTCTCTTCTCTTGTCTCTCTCTCTCTCTCTCCTCTCTCTCTCTGTCTCTCTGTTACTGTCTCTCTGTTTCTCTCTCTCTCTCTGTTGTCCTCTCTGTCTCTCTCTCTCTCTCTCTGGCTCTGTCTCTCTCTCTCTGTCTCTCTCTCTCTCTCTCTCTCTCTCTCTCTCTGTGTGTCTCTCTTCTCTCTCTCTCTCTCTCTCTCTTCTCTCTCTCTGGTCTTTCTCTGCTTCTGTTCTAGTGTCTGTCTCTGTCTTCTCTCTCCTCTCTCTCTCTCTGTCTTTCTGTGTCTCTCTCTCTCTCTCTCTCTCTCTCTCTCTCTCTGTCTCTCTCTCTGGCTCTCTCTCTGTCTCTCTCTCTCTCTGTCTCTCTCTCTCTCTGTCTTTCTCTGTGTGTCTGTCTGTGTCTCTCTCTCTCTCTCTCTCTCTCTCTCTCTCTCTCTCTCTCTCTCTCTCTCTCTCTCTCTCTCTCTCTCTCTCTCTCTCTCTCTCTCTCTCTCTCTCTCTCTCTCTCTCTCTCTCTCTCTCTCTCTCTCTGGTCTGTGTCTGCTGCAGTTTGAGGCTGACAGACTTTTCAACACGAGCCTCCGCCGCAGACGCTGTTGCTTTTGGCCGCGGCGAACGCCATGAGGTCACTGCTGATATAAACTAAGAATCAAATATATTTTAGTAAATAGAGTGGTCTGAGCCGGAGTCCAGACCCGGAGTCCAGACCCGGAGTCCAGACCCGGAGTCCAGACCCGGAGTCCAGACCCGGAGTCCAGACCCGGAGCGAGTCCCTGAGGTCTCGCAGCGACCTTCTCTCTCTCCGCGGATATCGTCCATCACAGCGTTTTGTCCATCGCTGCAAACTGGAAACCCAGGATTTAATTACACGACCTCCATCAATCGTCCTCCGCTCTGCATACGAGATCTTTAGAGAGGAGGAGAGAGGGGGAGGGAGGAGGAGAGAGGAGGAGAGAGGAGGAGGGAGGAGGAGAGAGAAGGAGAGAGGGGGTAGAGAGGAGGAGGGAGAAGGAGGGAGGAGGAGAGAGAAGGAGAGAGGGGGTAGAGAGGAGGAGGGAGGAGGAGGGAGGAGGAGAGACACGACCTCCATCGATTAATGCAAAAAGATCTTCCTCTGTTCTGCATACGAGATCTTTAGAGAGAAGGAGAGAGGGGGAGGGAGGAGGAGAGAGGAGGAGAGGGAGAGGAGGAGAGAGGAGGTAGAGAGGAGGAGAGGGAGAGGAGGAGAGAGGAGGAGAGGGAGAGGAGGAGAGAGGAGATAGGAGAGAGGAGGAGAGGGAGAGGAGAAGAGAGGAGGAGAGAGGAAGAGAGAGGAGGAGAGAGGAGGAGGGGAGGAGGAGGTCCAGTGGAGGCTCCAGCAGCAGAAGGAGGTCCAGTGGAGGCCCCACACTGAGCAGAGCAGCCAGTGGGAGCCCCCGCGGCCCCTGGCACAGCGGCCCCTGGCACAGCGGCCCCTGGCACAGCGGCCCCTGACACAGCGGCCCCTGGCACAGCAGCCAATCACTTTGCTGCGATTTAACTGCATCTTAAAGAAATGAGACAATAACGGGAAAATAATATGTTTTTACAACGCAATCCAAAGACTCCACTATGAAGACGACACTGGACTTTCTGAGACCACGACTTTGAGCGACGCCATAGATTTTTGTATGTTTTTTTGGTTCCGGTTCTCCTCGTACAGAAGTGCAGCTGAGGAGGAACAGATCAAAGACTACAGTAGAGTGTCTGGCTTCACTGTGATCTTTTCCAGGAGCAGCTGGACTGAACTCTGAGATAAAGTGGTCCGTCCTCTGCTCTGGGAAATCTCTCCAACCTGCTGCTTTTCTACTGCTGAAAACAGGAAACACTGAGAGACCTGTCCCGAGAACCAGAGACAGGACAAAAACAGTGTTTAAGGCAGAAACAGCAGAGGCCAAGCATGAGACGCATTTCACTTTATATAGCTACAGTTTCAACTTTTTATCTTGGCTTAATGTTAGAAAAACACCTGGAGGTTACATACCCATAACCTGACCTGGAGAAGGCTGTTTACACTGAGACCATGTGACATTAAGACTTCAAGTTGACTCTCGGAAAAAAACAACCTCCAGAGTGGGATCCAGGACACTCAACATTCAGCAACATCTACGGACATTTATCTACATGTCTGTACATTGGTCTCTGCCCCTTTTGGACCAATGGCTCTAAGTGATAGTTATCATTAGACTTGTAAGAGCCTAGAACAAACGTAAACAACAATGGCGGCGGATCAACTAATGCCACGTGAGCCGTGTGCAGCAGTCACAGAGGAGACGTTATGGATCTATTATAATATCTGAATAGAGTGTTAGGGCTTGGAGCTGAAGAACCATTTGCTCGGGGATTCTCGCAGCACTGCAGACTGAACCAGACTGAACCAGACTGAACCAGACTAAATGCATGTGGGCTACACAGAAATGTTCCCCATAGAACTCAGTCCCACCAAACATCAGAGACAAAGCTCAAAACTCATCTCCTGACAGGGAACCTACAGAGAACCTGACAGAGAACCTACAGAGAACCTGACAGAGAACCTACAGAGAACCTGACAGAGAACCTACAGAGAACCTGACAGAGAACCAGACAGAGAACCTGACAGAGAACCTACAGAGAACCTGACAGAGAACCTGACAGAGAACCTGACAGAGAACCTACAGAGAACCTGACAGAGAACCAGACAGAGAACCTGACAGAGAAACTACAGAGAACCTACAGAGAACCTGACAGAGAACCTGACAGAGAACCTGACAGAGAACCTACAGAGAACCTGACAGAGAACCTACAGAGAACCTACAGAGAACCTGACAGAGAACCTACAGAGAACCTGACAGAGACCCTGACCCTAGAACCTGACAGAGAACCTGACAGAGAACCTGACAGAGAACCTACAGAGAACCTGACAGAGAACTTGACCCTAGAACCTGACAGAGAACCTGACAGAGAACCTGACAGAGAACTTGACCCTAGAACCTGACAGAGAACCTGACAGAGAACAGGATAGGAGACCAATGGTAGTGACATTTAGACTTAGACTTTACTGTCCTCCAAATCTGTGGAAAGAAAAAAATGCAAATAAAAAAGATTTAAATCAATGATGACGTTTCCAAAGTAGGATTAATGTCTGTTTTAAAGATATATTTGTCTCTCTCCTGTGTCTCCATTGTCCGTGTGTCTCTATTGTCCGTGTTATTCCCGACTCGTCAGCCTCCGCCGCTGAATGAGTCGGATCAATGTTTAACACGCTTTACCCAAACACTACAGCGATAATTCACCTGAAGTGATGTGACCTACATTCTACCCCCGTCCACTTTATCAGCCGCTGCTCAGAGGCACAAAGGAAAGCCATTATTTAGGCATTTTAATACGGGAGGGATGTGGACAAGAGGCCCATGACGCGGGCTTTTCCAAACACTCTCTGGTTAATGTTAAACCAAACAGAGAAGCTGTTGAAAGCAGGATTACTCCAACAATCGAGGAGCGCGGCAGGAAACGTAACATCCACAGACGTGTAAGTGAACGGAGTGGGCTAAAGGGCTATGCTAAAGCAACACACCGCACTTCCTCTGTGATGTCACACCCCGGCTGCAGACAGGCCGCAGTCACACGCAGACAAAAGCACTGTTTTATTAAGACCGGTTTGAGAACAGTTTACTCCATTGTGCAAAGATTGATGATGAAAACAACAAATATTCAGCCTCTTTTGTGTGAATTGAAGCCTTTAAAGCCCAGGACTGAATTATTGTCGGGGAATATTTGCACAGAGCAGCCGTGACTCAGGACCAGGTGGATTTCGCTGGTTCATTTCTTGTTGATAAAAACCTTTTTCTAGGTTTTTTGGGGCGACCGTGGCTCAGTAAGTTACAGCCTTTTTGACAAGCTGTTCAGTTTAACCAGGGGTGTCTAAACTTTTCAGTAAGAGGGCCACTTTAGTTCCCCAGACTAGTCCAGGGGCCGACATCAAAGACCGAAGAACTGTCATGACTGGTATAAGGCTGTTCTGAGCTTTAAACCACTCATTAACAGAGCTGAAGTTGGCTGAATGACACACGTTTACCATCTCACCAGCTACATTGACACCATTAACAGAAGTGACTCAATCAAAAACCAGGTCAGTAAAGTTTGTTCATATAAAGTAATGACTGATTTCCAGACGTCCTGGGCTTTAGAACAAGGTCTATATTGGCTGAGCTGAAGTTGGATGGATGACACAGTGCACTTGTGTTTATGATCTCAAAGACTATTGGGTTAGTAAGTCAGAGGGCCACATAAAATGACACTGAGGGACTTTTGCAGATATTCCAATGGGGTTTTACTGCAAATGGCAAATAAAACGAATCTGAATCTTCGGTCTTTGAGCCGAATGGTCGTGGGTTCGAACCCCGCAAGACCTACTCCATCTGCTCCCACTGATGACCTGGTGCTGTGAGGAATGAGCAGCTCTGATCACCACCAATGGATTAATAAAAGTGAATGGATAATGGATAATGAATGAAAAAACGTATTTCCGCGGGCTGTCCTCGCACCAGTCACCTTGATTTGGGGTTTTGATCCAAATGCGTCTCTAATCTAGTCTTTTCGAGAAGTTAAAGGAGACCAGAGCAGGTCCACTGCCTTAAAAAAAGACAATGTTTACTTTAATTTCATTTTATAAAAAGATAAAATAACTTGGGGTGAGGAAAAGTATTGGCCTTGACACAATAGACTTCTGCAACTGTATTCCAATGTGGTTTTACTGCAAAAGGCAAATACAAATCTGAATCTTCATTATCGCTACATTTGGTCGGACTGAACACGACCATGGAAAGGGCTAGAGCTGATAATAATACATTGGTTTGATATAGTTCTTTAGGAGACTCCAAGCCTCTCGTCCCATTATCCATCCACTCACTATAAATAAACATTACTCACTCACTCAGTCGATCCATCCTCAACGCAGAGTCCACGGTTCAGACCTGCTCAGAGTGGATCCAGCGGAATGCACTCACACAGGGGCCCATATCTGCCTCCTGCTCCCCTGGTCCCCCACTCCCCTGGTCATGGTAGGGTTACACCGGGCCTCGCTGACAGCTCCAGGGACATCTGAGCCCTCACATCCAGACGGCAGATAGTGTGAGCGGGACCGACCCGACACAGAGCCCCTGCACGGCCCTAAATAAGCATTGGGAACTCATTTGTCAGCACGGGTCAGCCATCACAGACTGGAGGCCGGTTCGTCTGTAAGGAGAGATGTGGGCTGAGCTGTGATGTATGATCCTCGCCTGGTCTTACCGCGCCATGGTACTCGTTTCATTATGTACTAAGGTCTGGATCAGCTTCATTGACTCCGTTAACAGGTGGGAGGGGCTAACTCCTTTTGCAGATTGAAACCATTGGATCGGAATTTACTGTGAGGTATGTACAGTAATGAGCCCGAGTGAGTGAGGCATTTAGCCTAGCTTTAGCATTAGCCTAGCTTTAGCATTAGCCTAGCTTTAGCCATCGCCTTTGCCGCTATCGGAGCCCGTGGGGAGTAGAGCCACAACATCTTTGCTTCAATGACATTTACTAAACATTCCTCTTGCTCCGGCTTCAGTTTCTTGATATTTGGATTGAACCAGAACAGATTATTTTACTATCGCATTCTCCGACAAACTACAACCAGCAAATTCAGCACAAACTCTTGACGTCACCGACACCGACCTACAACACCCGCCTCCCCCGCTCTCTGATTGGTCGGAGGGGATTCAACCGAGGAAACTGCAGCCACTAGGATCAGACCCAGACGTACATGTAGGAAATGATCATGGACCAGAGGTTACACATGGTAAGACCAGACGTACATGTAGGAAATGATCATGGACCAGAGGTTACACATGGTAAGACCAGACGTACATGTAGGAAATGATCAGCCTTTGATAACATTGAGCAGGATGCATAAGGAGATATCATGCGGCTGGACATATCTCAGCTTTTATAGAGAATTACATAGAAAATCACATTTGAACCATATTTATATTGGTCCTGGTTCAAACAGCAGTAATAACAGACCAGCCGCTCTCCCATGGTCGCTTCTTAGCTCTGTGCAATTATGCTGTCACCGGGACATCCACGCCGACCAGCGGGGCCCGTCCACTTCTTCATCTGCTGTCAAGAATGTGAACGAAACACTTTTCTAGGAATCTTCCATTTTTAGAACTTAGAAAATAACAGAACTGCCGAAAGAACTTCTCGTGGGTGTGTCTAAAACCAGATTTGATACAGATATTATAACATTTGAAACCATGGTCTGTGAGAATTCCAGCGCTAACTGCCGTGCATTATTGTCGTATAAACGCACACGTAGTTCCGGTAAGTTTACAACCACGCTCTATATCACTCACACACAGCTGTTGCCATAGTAACTGTAACAGCCGGATCAAATAAACTGTCAATCAGGACACAAGCCGTAGCTACTATTAACGCCGGATAACATGGATTTCAAGGTGAATTTTAACGTTTTTGGACATGAGAAAAGCTTTGAGGAACGAGAAGAGGAGAACCAAGACGGAGAACGACAAAAGCAACGACACAAGGAGATGACATCGGAGGAACTGAAATGTCTCTTGACAACGGTTGCTAAGGCGAAAAGTTTTGTTTTCAGGCTTGTTAAGTAATCCCTAAACTTAAGCATATTTAGCCAGTTCAGTAAAGTCAATAAACATTTGTTACTCACTTAATTTCACGGGACCATGGTATAAGCGGCTTAAGCAACTCATTATACAGTTACAATTGTTGTTGTTTAATCCTTACTTATAAAACACACAAACACATTCAGGTCACGTCAGCGCTGAGTCCAGGTCCAGGTCCAGGTCCAGGTCCAGGTCCAGACACTGAACCAGCCCTGCACTGACAGCAGCTTTAAATCTGACGAACGGCATCGGTCTGGTTTCAGTTTTACTGGATTCTCTCATAAAAGAAAGAAGTACATTTGCAGACAGCTGATGTATTATCGACCTGCAGAAGAGGATTCAGGAGAGATCCGATGTCTCACACATGGACACGCTGTCTCCTGAGCAGTGGGGGGAGTCCTGGGTCCTGAGTCCTAGGTCCTGGGTCCTAGGACACTCAGACCCTCTCAGAAGTGAAAGACCAAAGCCTGACCTCGCACATGGTGTCTCCATGTGCGAGTTGTGGTTGTACAGAATCAACACAATCCCCTCTCACTCAGTGGCTATGTGCTTCTTCTTCTTATCATTATCAATATTATTATTATTATTATTATTATTTTCATTATTAGTATTATTATTCTTATTCTTATTCTTATTTTCATTATTATTATTATTATTAGTATTATTATTATTTTCATTATTATCATTATTATCATTATTATTATTATTTATAGATAATTAAATAATGTAAGTTTGAAGCCACGGATTGACATCAGGAAAACAATAACGATAAATAATAAATAATAATAAGCCACAAAGCCCATTCTACTTTATTGACTTTCATTAAACAGGAAGGTCCGACTGAGACGCGACCTCTTTTTCGGGGGCGTCCGGACTCAGGAGGGTTGGGGTCCAATTAAGTTTGAGAAATACTTTTGGTGGGCCTCGTACGGGACACATGGCACAGAACAGAGATGGTGGAGAGAGGACGGAGAGAGCAGAGGTCTGTGGAGGAGGAGGGGAAGGGACTTGAAAGTGTCTGCTGCTTGGACCCAGTGTTTAGACTAAGACCAGACCCAGACCAGACCCAGACCAGACCCAGACCAGACCCAGACCACAGGAGAAAAGACCGAGTTCTGTTCGTGTTTATTTCCAGACTTCACGATCTGAGCCAAAACCTGAGGAAACCAGAGCGGCTCCAGGTTTGTCATCGCAAACCCACAACACACAGAGCGACAACACACACACACACACACAACAAACACACACACACAAACACACACACACGACACACACACACACGACACACACTTCAGGAGGACTTTGAGGAGAAGTTTCAGATCAGAGGAAAGACTGGATGGATTCCTCATGTCTTTGTCACTTTCAGCTGTTTTTATCTGTTATGGACGACTGTAAACAGACCTCACAGATTCTGTTCTGACCCAAAATCAAAATCAGATTCAGTTTCTTTGTCATTTGCAGTGAAACCACTTTGGAAACATGTACAAAAGTCCCCAGTGTGCAACAGAGAAATACAGGAATAAAACAAGGTAAAAAAGGTGAAATTGACCAACAACAAAAAATAGGAAAAAGCTGTTAGCAAATCTATATCTCAGCCTCAGTCTGAGGTCTCACTGCCTCCGACAGCCTCAGCCTGAGGTCTCAGTGCCTCCGACAGCCTCAGCCTGAGGTCTCAGTGCCTCCGACAGCCTCAGCCTGAGGTCTCAGTGCCTCCGACAGCCTCAGCCTGAGGTCTCAGTGCCTCCGACAGCCTCAGCCTGAGGTCTCAGTGCCTCCGACAGCCTCAGCCTGAGGTCTCACTGCCTCCGACAGCCTCAGCGCTCCGACAGCCTCAGCCTGAGGTCTCACTGCTTCCGACAGCCTCAGTCTGAGGTCTCACTGCCTCCGACAGCCTCAGCGCTCCGACAGCCTCAGCCTGAGGTCTCACTGCTTCCGACAGCCTCAGTCTGAGGTCTCACTGCCTCCGACAGCCTCAGCGCTCCGACAGCCTCAGCCTGAGGTCTCACTGCTTCCGACAGCCTCAGTCTGAGGTCTCACTGCCTCCGACAGCCTCAGCCTGAGGTCTCACTGCCTCCGACAGCCTCAGCCTGAGGTCTCAGTGCCTCCGACAGCCTCAGCCTGAGGTCTCACTGCCTCCGACAGCCTCAGCCTGAGGTCTCACTGCCTCCGACAGCCTCAGCCTGAGGTCTCACTGCCTCCGACAGCCTCAGTCTGAGGTCTCAGCGCTCCGACAGCCTCAGCCTGAGGTCTCAGCGCTCCGACAGCCTCAGCCTGAGGTCTCACTGCCTCCGACAGCCTCAGTCTGAGGTCTCACTTCCTCCGACAGCCTCAGCCTGAGGTCTCACTGCCTCCGACAGCCTCAGCCTGAGGTCTCACTGCCTCCGACAGCCTCAGCCTGAGGTCTCACTGCCTCCGACAGCCTCAGTCTGAGGTCTCAGCGCTCCGACAGCCTCAGCCTGAGGTCTCAGCGCTCCGACAGCCTCAGCCTGAGGTCTCACTGCCTCCGACAGCCTCAGCCTGA